ACTTGAAATGGTTCGACCAGTTCCAGCCTTTGTTTCCGAGCTCTTCCCAAGCTGTTTAGAGCGTGAGCACTGACTCAATGCATGTGCGAGAGACACTTGCCATTGATATCCTCGGGGGGCGGTCGCATGTACACCATCATGTTAATCGCTGAAGAACCACCAAGTGTCTTTCCGCGAGCCCACTCGAAGGACTTATCGAAGCAGTTTTTCTGCGGAGTGGTCTTCAACATCCAGTCATACTTCGGGTTCCCTGCTAACTGGCCCCCACCAGACTGGGTCGCCAGAAGAAGAGGATCTTCGAAGTTGGCTAGACCGGCCTCCAGAACTAGAACTGATAGCTCGGGCCGGACTGACAAACGTGCCGCCAGCGTCAGACCGGCAGTCTAGAGACTTAGTTATAAAACGAGCGGGCTGAGCCTGGACAGAACCTACGCCTCCGCCTGGTGAGCCAAGGATAGGAGTTACTCGTCAGTCACAATATACTCGTAATGTGAGAACCAACGGACCACAAATGACATAGTCGAAGGTTTGATCAGAAACATCCTCTAGGGATGCCAACGTTGGTACGGGAGTGGGCGCAGACATGGCTATAGGGCAGGATGGAGTGGGTGGGTCAAACGATAGCGCCAAAAGACAAGAGAACGAGCGATCGCGGCCTCGGCGTGCGTCTTGCCCGCTTGCGATTTATGCGATTCGGCAAACATAGTTGTGATTTGTCCTCAATGTTGCCCGACGTACGGGTAAGTAACGCGTAGGAAGGAGTACTCTTGGCGGCAAGTGACTCCATATAACAGTCTTCGAGTAAACACAATTGAAATTTTGATGCCGAGGCAGCGTTCAGTAATCCCTGATGTAAGCACCAAGTTGACCGCAATAAAGGGCCGGCTACCAACTGCATCCGTCACAGCATTGACCGAAACCCTTCGTGAAATTATGACTCTCACCCTGGTATCCAGTGTTCCTACGCTCAGGTGGACGATGCCGGAGCGAAACATGGGGAGGGTACATAGCCAAATCCACCGGAAGAGTGCCTGGTGGGTATTACAAATCCGGTCAGTTGCCTGCCTAGCGCATACGTACGCACGATGCGGAGCTGCTCGTATCCAGTTAGTATGTTGAGGGCGTCCTGTAAGTGAGAGGACCATGTTATGCCTGAGGGGCTTGCGGGAAGCGCCGGATGGGGAAAATGTCCGCGGTTTGAGGAGGATGTACATCGCGCAAGCGAAGAGCAGTCAGGATCGGCGTTAGGGATGGAGGTCGTAGGATTGAGTGAAACAGGAGCCCGGAGTGAGCGAGATGAGCTCGGCACGCTTCCCTGCATGACATGTATTCGGTAAGTAATGACATTCGGCACTGTATTACATGGCTGGAAGGTCCAGCGCGAGCAATCACGCCAAGCCCAGGATAATGTCCGCGGCTGCGCGGGGACGTCAGACAAGTTTCGGGCTTAATACAGAAAACAGACCTTGCTCGGCGATAGCATATGCCGTTGCTGCTGAAAGTCAGATCCACCAAAATGAAGAAGCATATGTACTTACATTGGGTGTGGCTGGCGACGTGGAGCGGAATGATCGACAGATCGACAATTCTCACGTTCGTCGTGCCATAGACCTGCGACGGCATCAATCACGATTGCATGGGGCGGCCTATAGTCAAGAGACCCACTTTCAACTGTGCATCCACCACACCGTCCTTCTCGCGGGGCAACATCGAACAGGTGCCAGCAGTGTCTGATGTTCAGCACTTGAGAAGGCTTCATCGGGAGCGGGATGAAGATACTCACGCCAAGTTGAACTCATACCCCTCTTGATATATTCTGTTCGGACAAGGCGAGTGTCAGGAGGCGAGATTCACGCTCATCCAAAATTCTCACCCTTCAGATCATCGTCAGTTCTGGCGTCAGGCCCAGGTATGATCTCCTTGTCTGCAGACGGCGTGAGCCAGCTAGCCCGGCCTGTTGCGGCGTCTGCGCACCTATGAACGACTTGTAGGGCTCGGTGTTACTCAGCTTGCGAATGAACTTTGCCTGTTCAACCATAAACTGTAGGTCTGCGGGGGACGTCTCAGGCTATGGCAACATATACAGATCATCATCACGCGCACCGAATTCTTCCTCAAAGTATCTCGGGTCCATTGATGGTGGAGCTTCTGGGTCAGTAGAATTGATATGCTGTACGAGGTTTGTGAGCAGACCAGACACATTCGTCTCGACGTGCATACAATGGATCCCCTCGAGAAGGGATGGTTGAGTCCTGCCAGCATCGTCAAATACGATTTTCCAGGCACACGCGAGTAGTGAGGCAATGCCTGTTTTGCTGGTTAGCCGAATCTTTGACTCTCGGATGTTTTACTTACCATTGGCGTGATCATGATCTCCGCATCCGTAACATTCTCATCCTTAAGGAGACGAAGCTGGATCTGGTATTGATCCCACAGAGACGTGCTGATCTTGCCATCCTCCTGTTCGGCTTCGAGCCTCTTCTCCAGCTCCACAATTAGAGTGCCTGCCGCAGGGGAGATCCGCTGAAGAGGAGCGAATGCGAAGCGCGCGAACCCCATTGGGAATACAGTTTCCACTTCCCTATTTCGCCGTAGGTTGTTAATGAAAATGAGGTGTGATCAACAATGGAGACATACTTTGGGTTGCTGCCATCCGCCGTATTCTTGCCCTTGTTCTCGTCCAGCTCTGAAACAGCTTTAGAGGAAACCGATCTGTTCTGTTCGCGCGACTCACCAAAGAACATTCCGAAGAACATGTGTTCCTGGAGGTTGGCTCCAACCCCAGGCAGGTCCACTTTACAGGCAATCCCCAATGGTCCAAGGATATCAGGAGAGCCGATTCCAGACAGCTCAAGAAGTTGGGGCGACTTGAGCGCACTTTTGGATGTCAACTGTGCACCGCTAGTTTAAGGGGGGAACTGGCCTACCCGGCGGATAGAATGATTTCCTTGGCGGCCTCGACGTAGTAGGACTTGCCTTCATACAGGATCTCAACCCCCGCGGCTGTGATAGCGGTTCCTTCAGAAACCTGATCCGCAAATATCAGCTTGCTGGCGGTTACACCAGTCAACACCGTCAGGTTAGGCCGATGCGCATTGGGCAAGAAGAACGCCTGCATCACAGATGAGGACTCGATTGCGCTTCGCCGGAAGGAGAAGGTCACCGACCGTTGTTGCGTAGGAGCGTTTTTTGGTCTTCGGATCTTCGCAGGGTTAGCAACACAGATGTGCTGAGGATGCGCGATGTAGTTACCCTGGCTGCCTTCGGTGAGCCATGTGCCGTTGATCTGACACTTCAATTTCAGAGGGGGATCTCATTGTACAGCACCATACCCACATTTCCATCGAACTGCCATTGCCTCAGCCCTCAGCATCGAGACACAAAGGGGGCTCACTTACAGGATGAGTGAGAGCACGGATGCCGAACTTGTTGAACGCCTTGAGACAGCAATGAGGGTTCTACATCATGCGGTGCTGTGCTCACTCACCTCCACCATAGGACCGTCCAGAGGCATCTTGCTTTCATACGGACCACTGACGATACCCTCGGCGTCATGGCTGCGAGCCGTATCCAAGGTGAGCAGAGCAGCCGCCCATCACAGAGTATCAAGGATCACCTCTCGCTTCGGTTAGCATACTTGAAGTGGTTGGTCCAGTTCCAGCCCTTGTTGCCCAGTTCTTCCCAAGCTGTCATCGAATGAGTACTTGCGTAGCTGTTACACCAACGGGATATCAGGTGCACGTACCATCAACATCCTCCGCCGGCGGGCGCATATAGATCAGCGCGTTAATCGCCGACGTCCCGCCCAGCGTCTTCCCTCTGGACCACAAGAACTCCCTGCCGCCGCAGTGCTTCTGCGGCGCGGTCTTGAACGCCCAATCGTAGGCAGGGTTCCCCCGCAGCTCGGAGCCGTTCGACTGTGTGTCAAGGATCAGCGGGTCGGAGAGGTGTGCGGGGCCGGCCTCGAGCACGAGGATCGACAGGGAGGGTTGGGAGGACAGGCGCGCGGCCAGGGTCAGGCCGGCGGTCTGCGAGCCTGAGTATTGTGCGGTCGGGATACGCAGTAAGGAGACAGAGACTTACGCCGCCGCCTGCGAGCAGGAACGCGTTAACATCACCAATGTTGGGCGGTGGAAGTGCACGCACCACAGATGATGTAGTCGAAGGACTGATCAGCCACATCCACGATTGAGGCCAACTTGGGCATGGTAGTAGGCGGCGACATTGTTATGGCCAAGGCAGGAGAGGGTTAAGCGGTAGTAGTATGGCCAAAGACGAGACGAGGAGCTCGAGCAGCCTGCCCGTCACCCGTGTGCTCCAGATATATACGCCCCGACACACAGCATTGGCAATCGGGTTGATGACTGCCCGACATACGTAAGCTGACCAAACGTAAGAAGCCAGCATCTGGCACTCTCAATATTGTATGGGTGCTCGGAGACGACGGTGGGGAAAGGGTCCTCACGCTCGGTGAATGGAGTCAACAGGAGCCTGAGCCCGAGACTGAGGGGCCCGCACCGCACCGCATCCTGATCGGGCCCGCTGCCGTTCAGTTGCGCTCACAGTATTGTTAGCAAATGTCGATCGACGCAGTATATTGATTCTGTCCCTTCGCGGTCGGCCAGGCAGAGGGAACCTGGAATTCCACAACAAGTGTCGGTTCGTCAGGGATGTTACGAGTCAATTCGGGGATAGGGTCCGCTGTGGGGGGTTTCAGGGCCCGCGCTGGACGTTGGGACGGAGGACGGGGGACGGGGAAGCCGTCTCCTCAGTCGTTTGAAACGCTGAGGGAACGACGGACGAGATACAGCAGAGCCAGAAGGATCTCTCGAGCAGCAGCAACTTTGAAGATCATAAGTAGCTCAATTTGGGCGCAACGGCTGGTGGGAGGATCAGCAATCCCGCGCCGGCGCTGGTTCAGCTCGCTATAGCGTCTGGGTCCGTGCAACTGGGGGCGAGATTTCCTCCGAAGAGGGCGGATATGAGAGCAAAAAGAGTCTTGCGTTGGCCGGGAATCGAACCCGGTCCCCGAGCAATTTCTGTCTTGTGGACAGCCAGGTTATGGGAAGCTCGGATTCTAGCCATTAAACTACCAACGCAGTGACATTCTCCTAAGCCATATCATGGAATATAGCCCACTGCATGAATGGAAACAAAACAGATTGCGTGACTACCACCGCGAATATTTCCTTCACTCAACCGCAAGTAACACTGACATTTTGAATGAATGGTTGGGTGATACCCGCCTCCCTGGCCGTGCACACCAAGCGTTCCAAGCTGCGCCGCCTCTCCGGCCTCAAAACCGTGCGAACCGGGCGCCAAGTGCGACTGACCGAGCCACAGAACCCTTTCGCACAGCACAGCCGGCCGCAAGGGACTTAATTTGGGTTTGGGCGCTCACCCGTGGGTCAGTCCTGTCCGGCGGTCTCGCGCTGCAAAACCGTCGGGTGCGCCTTCTGACCTTCTGTTGGTGTTGAAGCTCGACATCTTGTCGCTGCTGCACTGTTGTTACAGTACCGTCTGCCCACGCAACCAAGCAGGAGAAGGTCCCCTGCCAGCGACCAGCAGCCCCGACACCCCAGCACCACCCGTGGGCGCCATGCCCCTCCTCACCGGCCCCTCCAAGCTCCCCCTCCCGCACGCCCTCTCCTCGACCCGCAGCACCTCCCTCGGCAAGCGCGTACAGCGCATCCTCCTCTCCCTCCCCCTCCCGCGCCCAGTAAGGCAGGCCATCGCTGCCGTCCCACCTCGGCTCTGGCTGCTCTTGCTCGTGGGATTGGCCTGCTGGACGGTCTGGGGACGCGGTGGCCCCCCCGCTCATCCTACTAGGACAGAGCCCCCGCCACCGTCCAGGCTGAGGGAGCAGGATCCGCGGCTGAAATGGCTCGACGAGCACCTGGACGCTGTGGAGGCCGATTCGGACCACGACCACCCCCCGGAAAAACAAGCGCAGACCCCCGCCCTCCCGAGCGGGATGGAGCACACCTTCGGCTCTGACGGCCTGGTGCGTGTCGGGCTCGACGCGTTCGAGCATCCTGTAGCGGAGATATTGGAGAGGGCGGAGGGGGCGTGGGAGAAGGAACGGGGCCGCGTGATGGCGGATATGAGCGAGTGGGAGGAGGAGTACAGGGAGGGGAACTATGGGCGGAGCCCGCCCGATGGTGCGTTCAGGACTTTCACTTTCATATGCTGTTTTCTGCATTCCACTATCCACTTCACGCCCTTCCACAGCCATTGGATCTGCCATGCGCTGGTCCCGATCGGTGTGTCTATAGTGTCAAAGCTAACCCTCCGCAACAGCCTACCGCATCTGGCCGCTCGGCCACCGGCGTCCCCCGCCGCTCCCCTCGCCCTACCTCCTAATCTTCAGCGCCCTGCCCCACAGCGCCTTCCTCCGCTTCCAATCCGAGCTCGAGCGCCAGCCGGGGACGTTCACGTTGGTCGTCTCCCGGGGACGGGTCAGCGTCGAGGTGGGGGAGAGGGAGGACCGGGCGGTCGGGGAGCGGGCTAGGGGGGTGAGGGAGGTCGTCGAGCGGTTTGCGAGGGACCTGCCAGATTTGAGGGTCACTGTTTCCGCTACTGTGCGTGCCCTGCTTTCCCTCTCAACGGAGAGCGGCGAGGGTGCATATATGCGGGACAACGTTAACCGCCCACGTAGAATCGCCCACGTCAAGCCCTCCCCGTAACGACATCCGACATCCTCTCTGCCGCGCACTCCTCCTCCGCCCCTCTCTCATCAACATACAACGACATCCTCCTGCTCCCGCCCTCCCCCTCGTTCGCCAGCGCCACCTGCCCCCCACCGAGCCCAAACACACTCTCCGCGCCCCCCTCGCCCGGGCTAACATTCCTCTACTGGCCACGCGAGGGGCTCGACCCCTGCCGGCACTCCTACATCCAGGAAGCAGCCCCGGAGTGGTTCGAGGAGCCGCTCATCGGGTGGGCCGCCCCGGTGCTCGGGTTTGTAGGGGGGGCGGGGAGCAGCGATTTGCTCATGCCCGGGAAGTGGCCTGAGGCGGAGGTGAGGCACGAGCGGGGGAGGGGGGAGTGGAGGGACGGGGAGGTGCAGTGGGCCGAGAGGGCGGGGAAGCTATTTTGGGTGAGTGTTTCGTCCCATTTGTAGTTCGCTTGCTGCGGGATGTGCACAATCTGTGGCTTTGACCTCAGCGTCGACGCTGCTGCTTTGGACTTTGACCGCAGTGTTGCTAGAGCCCTGCTGACTGCGTTGCGTTTCGTTCGTAGCGAGGCGAAGCTCCCACCGGCTCGTCAATCCACCCGGCGCAGCGCCTGCTCCACCCATCAAAACGTCACCCGCCCACGCTCCTCCCGCGCGGCCGAGGCTTCATCTACGCGGACAACCCGAACCCGCTCTCGGGCCTCTTAGACGTCTCCTTCGTCTCCCCCGCCTCGCTCGCCGGCGAGTGGGCCAACCAAGGCCGGTTCAAGTACGTGCTGGACCTGGCCGTGGAGGGGGAGGAGGAGGGCCGCTTTGTCGGCGGGCTCATGGCGGGCGCCCTCGTGTTCAGGGCGGCGGTGTTCAGGGGGTGGGAGGCGGAACAGGCGAGGGCTTGGGTGCATTATGTGCCCGTGCTGGTGAGTCGCCTTTTCTTTTGGATGCTGGAGCCCACATCGTATCCCGCTCTCGTCTTCCTGCGCTGCGCCCGGCGCTTGCCTCGGACTGTGCGAGCGAGCTGCAGAGAGACTGGGCCAGGGCATGCGGGCGGGCAGGGAAGCGGGACAGTCACGCTGACACCTACCCACCAGCCGGACATGTCCGATCTCCCGGCCCTGCTGCACTACTTCAGCACGCACGACCAGGAGGCGCAGAAGATTGCCGAGGCTGGGAGGAGGTGGGCGGAGGACAAGCAGCGGCAGGAGGACGTCGAGGGCGCTTGGTTCACGTGCGTTCCTTTCTTTTCCTACCTGCTGGAGATGGGCTGGGCTGACCATGGGTGTTTGATCTCTTTTCTGCGTTTTGATCGTGGTGTCCTTTGGTGCGGCGCGTGCGTCATGCGTACAGGACGCTGGTGGAGTATGGACGGATGTACAGCAGGGAGAACGACGAGGACCGGTATGCTTGACGACTGTTGTAGGCGGGGTGCGGGGTGTACGCTTGTGGAAGGAGGTGGAGTGGAGTGGAATGGCCTTGCGGTGGATGCCCCCAAACCCAGCAGGATGGATTACTGATTACTACAATACCGTGTTACGCTGTAATATACCCTCTTGTCATCTCTGCGCGTGGGTGTGCCGAGGATGCAGCGCGACAATAAGATTTTGCGGCGTGCGAGCGGGAACAGCACGGGGGATGGGATGGATGCCAGTGATGCGCGCTCCAGTCGGAGCCGCGCCGCCCCCGCTGCCTTGCCTTCGCTCGACAACCCCGCCCGCACTGCACGACGACGCAGCGTGGCACCTGCCCACCCCGGCTTGCGCGTCTCTCTCCCCCGCTGCCTGCTTTGCTCAGTCCTGTCTGGCGCCTGCTCAGCTCGGCGGTTTCTGGAGTCTGCTGCTGTGGCTTTTCGCGTGCTGCCTGGCTGAGTGCTGAGCTTCCGACCGAGCTCGGGTGGCCCGCGCCTAGCTCCCGTGCAAACGCTCGGCTCTGCTGCCGCCCGTGCGTCCCCTCCCTCCCGCTGCATGCCCGCTCACCGCCCACCCAGGCACATCCTCCCACTGCAGACTGTAACGATATCCATCAAATACCCGCACCCCAGCACCCGCAATGTCCCTCCCCGCGCTCAACCCCCCACCACCACCGCGGCAGCCCGCCGACCTGCCCACGTCCGACCCCTCCCTCGCGACCGAGCTCATGCCCGCTCCGCCCCCACTCGCATACGTCACCAACCCCTCCTCGCACCACTCCGCCCGCCTGCCCATCCTCTCCCGCACGGGCGCGAACCGCTACCTCCCCGCCGTCGACCTGGGGACGACGTACACGGGGCATGGGGCGCTCTTACCCGGCGCGGGGAGCTTGGAGACCCCACCGCCAGTGATGGACGAGCAGGGGGAGATCGCAAAGCCGAAAAGGAGCACGAGGGGGGCGGCGTTGGGGTGCGTACCGTACTGTCGACGCGTTTGCGATGTGTGCTGACCGATGTGCTCGATTTTTGCCACCTCTCCTTTGGGCCTCGTACATGCGCTCTACTCTCCCCGCGCGCTCTGATATGCCCGCACATCACCCACAACCCCTCCCCCGCCCCGCCCCCGCGCGGACAATGACCAACGACCAGCCCCCACGCCAAATCCACAGCAGTAAACCGCGTCCAGCGCAGCACGCGAAGCAGCCGCCCCGCCAGCGACTCCCCCGCGCCAGGGGCGCACTCCACCCCTCCCTCGTCCGTTGCTGGGCCGTCGGGTACCACCCACCCGCCGGCTGCGAATGGGAACGCGCTGGAGGAGGGCGGGGAGCGGGCGGCAAAGCGGCAGAAGGTGGATGCGAAGGGAAAGGGGAAGGCCTCTGACCCCGCCGTCCCGGGCGAGCCGGTGCGTCGCCCACCTCATGCATACACCTCTTGCATCACACGTGCTGATACGTTTCTTGCAGCCGATGCAGACGAACAAAGATTACTGCGAGACGTGCGGAGGGATAGGCGAGTTCATATGCTGCGACGGGTGCACACGCTCCTACCATTTCTTGTGCCTCAACCCGCCCGTCGAGCTGGACGACATCCCCGAGGACAAGTGGTACTGCGGGGTGTGCTTGTACAACAAGGTGCGCAGCGCCCCATCTCTATCTTCGTCTTTGTCTCCTCCGGCTCGCGCTGGTGCTGATTGTTTGGGGGTGGGAAGAAGCCGCCGCACAGGTCGGCGAATCGATTTTTTGGTGCGCTTGCTCAGAAGGTCGAGAGCGAGTCACCGAAGATCTTCAAGCTCCCGGATCCAATACGAGAGTATTTCAAGAGTGGTATGCTCTCGCACTCCCGTGTGGGATCGATCCTCATCTCTATGTAGTGACTACCGGTCCTGGTGGGGAGTATGTGCAGCAAGGGCAGGCACGAGGCGGTCGGCTGAAGTGCGTGTACCCTCAATTTCCTGTGGGCGTACACTAACACCTTCCCAGCAAATACGGCGCCGTAGAAGAACGCGACCCGTACCGCCTCAA